ACAATAAAAAGGTTGTTACGCCATACTACCACCTAGAGATTGTCTGCCCTTGCTAGTAGCAACTATAAATTTGACTTTCATTTTCCTGCAATCCTGGCAAAGGAAGGAACATACTATCATTTATAGGATTTATAATTCTTATAAGATGCTTTCTGGTTGCTAATGAGAGGCATTAATAAGAAAGCACATAATTATTTTGTAGAGAAGAAACAGAATGTGAAATGAGGATGTTCTGATTGAAGACAGAAGACACCCCAGAAACCCCAGGGGCAGCAAAGAAGGAAACTGTAAAGAACACAGCAGGGAAGGAGTTGAGTTAAGGCTGAAAACAGCTGCAATGAAAAAGAATCAAAATATAAAACTTTCTCCACTCCAAGTTTGGCATCATTATCTATGGTAGACAGGTTTCTAAGTATGAAGTCATACATATATATGAGCATTTCTTCACCTCTTTCTCTCCTGAGTTAAAGCTGTACTTTCTGGAATTAGAAACTCCTAGAAAATATGTGTATAAAAGAGAAATTTTTAAATGCAAAGAAAAGCAGGAAGTAAAGGACAGGACAGAGCCCAGAGACTTTCATGGGTCTCTCTAGAACTGAGGAATACCATGTCAGGGGAAGACACTGGCATTGAAAAAAAACCACACAAATGTGAGCTAACTCTGAAGTCAGGAGCTATTTTAGGGTCCCAGCAAGCATCCTTGTGGACTTGAGGACAGAACAGACCTGGGGGTCTGGGTTTACTTCCCACACACAAGCCAGGAAACATTGCTGAAAAGAGTAGCTCCTGCAGGATCCACAAAGCCACTCTCTCCATTTTCCCTCCAGAAGAACACAGCTGTCTCCTCCAGAGCCCCAAGGAGAAAAGGACCAAACAAAGGAATCAGGTAGGTGTCAGATTATCTAGCAAAAGCTGCCTGGTGCCTGGTGCCTGGTACGTCTGTGAGGCACTGTTTACTGAGGGACAACCCTGGGGAGGGACTCTACCTCTCCAGTGGGGACCTGATTCACTGCAGCATTTCCTTCTGAGTCAACTCATCCTATATCCACTGCTCTCCCTGCCCTGCAGGTCCTAGCAGAATGGTACTTGCCGTGTGTGTCTCTTAACTTCAAAAATCAACACACAGTATTTTTCTGCTCTTACCTTATAGTTCACTTAGGAAGGAGCTGACTGTATATCTCACTAGGGTTCTTTTTCCAAAATTTTTTTTTAAATCTTTTATTCAGTTAGTTATTTGGTACAGGGTCTCGCTATGCAGCTCAGACTTGTAGTGATCTTCCTGTCTCAGCCTCCCCAGAGCTGGGATTACAGATGTGCACCCAATTTCTGTGGCCAGCCAGCACTGCACACCTGGAGTTTCAGGATGATACCAGGGATCGAATCTGGGTCCCTGCATCCAGGTCCTTGTGTTTGCCAAGCAGGCACTTAGACTGCTGAGCTATCTCTCCAGCCCCACCGTTAGGGTTCTTTTGTGGTTGTATTCATCTCTGCTTACATGCTTGTCTTCGAACTAGACTGTGAAAGCCTAAAAACAGGCATTTATCTGACTTCTCCTACCACATCATTTAGCAGTGTAATTAACGCCAAAAATGAAGAAATGCAATAATCAGATCTCGGCAATTTTCCTACTTCCTGGCTATGCTGGAAATCCCAAAGTCCTTTATTTCCAAACATGGTCTTCAGTATTTTTCACCTTAACTCTGAGCCTGTACCTGATAACTGCCCCCAAAATAGCTAGTGTTAGTTCCTGACGTTTCTAGCCAAGAGTGTTGACAGAGACAAAACAGTAAGAATCAGGCTGAATTGGCGAAGTCAATTAGAAAAGATGCAAGGGCTTGGGAGATAGCTCAGTGGTATAAGCGCTTGCCTAGCAACGCTATTATATTTTGTTCTTATATTCATTTATTTTGTTATTTTATTTTTTGGTGCTGGGGATCTAACTCAGAACCTTATTAGATCCACAGTACTGCAAAATAATAATAATAATAATAATAGCTTAATTAATTAAAAGAAGACATAACTAAAATTGAAAGACTCAGTGAGGCTGACAAAATGCTTACGTGTGAGCTATTTATTTAGCCCTAACCGTCAAGCAGGACTTCTCTGTCCCTTGATAACTGGGAATAAATTTCGGCCTGTGACAGAGTGAGGCCTTCACTCACATTTCTGAAATTTCCCCAGAATGTTTATAGTCTCCCCCCCATCCTGTTCCTCTCCGGCATTCATTGACAAATAAGCATTCTCTCCTGTAACTATGTTTCTTTCCCCACACAGGGATGTCAGCTCAGCCACCACTCAAATTTAGATACAAAGGTGCACACACATACACATATATAAATCCACATACATATTTGCAGAACACATCTATAATGTAACAGAAAACAGAATAAAAATGTGACTGTGAGCAGGTTATTCAACCTCTTTGTGTCTTGGTTGCCAGTCATTGTTAAATAGAAGATAGTAATGGTATGTGCCTCCTAGGATTGTTTTAAAAATTGGGTGGGATAATAAAAAATGAGTTTATAGCTCACAACAACCTTGAATATATAACATAGCAAACATTCAATACTCAATTTACAGCCAATCTATTAAATTGTCCTGAAAGGCTGAGTTCTCAAGTATATATACATTTGTTGTGGGGTTTTTTTGTTTTGTTTTGTTTTGTTTTTACTGTAACTGCTCTGAAAGCTCCTTCTTACTGCACTATCAACTGCTTTAGCCTTTGCTAAGCAGAGCCCTGACATCCTTCTGGCTCTCCTGGAAGGTTCTCCCTTCTCAGCTCCTTCATTTTGCTCAGTCTTCAGAGCAAGTAAAATGATTATTTTTTGTGCCAGGGACCCAGCTCCCTCCATGCCCACCTTATTGTGTAGGTACTTCTCCAAATAAAGACAGCCAACCCCTCAGCAAAGAAGAGCTTCCGTGTCCTTCTAACAGCATGATAAAGTTCACTGTCTCTGTGATTTCAGCTGAAATGTCACTTTCTAGACCCTAGTCACTTGCATAGCGCTA